CAGTTGGCCATGAATCAATTTGCCACAGACACAAACAATTATTGGCACCAAACGTATAACAGGATCAATAAGTTAACGAATACAGTGAGACATAATCTCTCCAAACTTCACATCAATTCTACTCATGTCTGTCTCATGTTTTCAATTCACAAGTCACGTTTAAAGGGAATGTTTCATCAAGAAAGTTCTTTTGAAAGACTATGTATTGTATCTCCTACAGCTCATGTATTGCAATGACTAAAGTGTACAGTGGCATCAGAAAATGAGGTTACTTAAGTTTTGCTAGCATCTTGTATCATGGTATCTATTGATGAGAACCTCCAGGAGATTAGCATACATTATTCTAACTAGCACCTTGCACCATTGTAGTTATTGCAATACATTGATATGAAATTCTCCAGAAGGTTACAATACTGATTCTCCCTAGCACTATTACAATAACTACAATAGTTGAGTATCATAACCTTCTGGAGCAACTCAAGCCAATGTATTACTTGTTAGTTATTTCAGCCTTAACTATAACTTATAGTAAACATATATCAGTAGTTATATCAGTACCCACAAAGATAAAAGAGGAATGTCTGCCTTTAAGACATGGAATGAATCAATTGCAGCAGGAGAGACTAGAATCTAATCAGGCAACATGACAAATACATGAGACATTTCCATCACAATGACATCATTTTCTATTCACTATCTTTACATGCAGTATAATTGACAGCAGGAGATTTTCTAATTTCTTAACAATCTGATTGTATTGACTAGGAATCAACATTCTGCATTAACAGTAAATAGAGAAAAATCTGCCTCTATTCTTGGAAAGAAAATATTGTAATATTGATGTGATTTGAGATTGAAGGGAAATATATTTTTTTTTCAGTTTTTCCAAGCATATTTTGGTAGTAAACAGTAAAAGTACCGGTATCCCAAAAAATCTTAACTCTAACGTCAAATCTACAAACATTGTTGTGTGTATGTTTGTAGAGTATTGCTATGGGAGTCAGTCTAGAGCCAGTGTCTTACCTGTAAACATGCTTGACAAATAAATATTATATAATGTCAAGGTCTAACAATGACGTTAACAACTTGACAAGGTATTGTTTTAAATACATTGTATGTTAAGATTCCTCAACACATCAAAATCAGTAGGTCACCGCCACTGTCCTACTGCAGAATGCATAGCATTACTTGTCTTTATTAGTTCAATCAAGAGCAAAAAAGTAAGAGGAATTTAAGAGGAAGTAAGGCTAAATAAAGAAATGTATTATGGTCATGTTAGGAATGATATGTGAACTTAGCAATGATATCTGTCAGGGATAAAAGCAATTGGTGAACAATGATGTATGATTATAGCCAGAAACTAGTCATAAACAACAGAAAGCAATTTTATTTATGTCTATTTATGTCTCCTGCTGCCAACAACTCACCAACTGTAAACAATTCAAACTATTTATGGCCGAGAAACAGCAATTATATAGAAATCGATGGAAACCTTTCATAGTCTATCAATATCAATCAAACACTCTCATATACTGTTATATATTTAATGAAACTACAGGATTGAATTGATGGAATAACACCTTCCTTACTGTCATAGTTTCTGCTCAATCAACCACCGACATTCCATACTCTTAATATACTTTTGAATACTGTTTATTCAGAATAATTTTTAACTTTTTCTACTAAGTTTTAAGTGAATTGAGACTTCAGATTTAAAATCATCACTGCTGATGCTGTCCCAGTTCCTTAATAGTTTCTTTTCCATTTGAACTTTAATTATGCATTCAGAAAGAAAAAGTCAGCTGTTCAGAAGATAGATTTAACTATCTAGATATTCTGTTTAACAGTTTGAGCAATTAAGCATTTTCAGATGTTGCTCATTAGCTACTACGATCCAAAAAACTGTCCTTGGAGGTTATTAAACTATATTGATTATTGATTTAGACCATGCCAAGCTATTAACAGACATATTTCATATCTCAGCGAGTGAAAACAGGTCAAGTAATTATCTAAGTTTGTGACGGAAATGGAATACTGCCGTGAGGAAGATGAACCAGATATCTTTTGTTATCATTCCGTGATGTTTTACTCTTTTTAATAAATATTGTATTATAATCAATTACTATATATGTTGCTATAGTAACAAAATATACAAATATCTGTAAAACAGTCTACCATTGTCAACCTGTATTGATTGTGTATTCTTATCATTCTGTTATTATTATATAAAATACTAATTATACAAACAGAAGACAAATCTGTTTAAAAACTAACCATTGATCGACTTAAAAAAAACTCTCATTACATATGCTTACAGATTATAGACATGATTTATTTTGTTTTCATGCACCAACGAGTCAAATTAATTGATCGATTTAAAATCAGAATCAGGTCATGATATGAAAACATTATTACAATGAATTTGTTTTTAGAATCTTTAAAGTTGAATTTAAGCCCAGGTAATGCAAAGCAGATGAGGTTCATCGCACAGTGAAAGATAGTG